TGACCCCTTTAAGCATTTTTTTTTTTATTAATTAAAAAATAACCGACATCTGCTGGAAATTGTATTTTCAAACTTTAAAATGCTGCAAATACAACTCATTGTTTTCTCCGTATTCATTTAGTGTAGATTTAGGGACCATATTGGCGTATTGTGTTTCCTTCAATTTATTACTCAAATTTTATTTACTTGGTCTTGAAATGTATTGAAATGTCTTAAATTTACCTTCATAAAACCCGCAGAAACCCTAAAGAGGGTTTGAATGACAATGGAGCAGTTAGCACTGATGTGTCCTTTTTGTGATTTTGTTCTGTGTTCTGCAGCTGCTGCTACATCCGAGGACTTCCAGATTCGGCCTCACGCGTTAAACGTGCACTCGTATCGTGCGCCGGCGTTCTGCGATCACTGCGGCGAGATGCTTTTCGGCCTGGTGCGTCAAGGACTCAAATGTGATGGTGGGGACTCTGTCTTTCACAATTTGTATTCTTCATGCTGGACTTGGTTTCATTCAGTCATAGCTAGACTTGTTGTGTGCTGTCATGCAACTTCATATATTTTCCATGACCCAACTGGCTCCATCTAAAGAAATGTTTGGACATAAGTGTGATAAATGTCCACAGTGTCCAATTTTTTTGCCCTCTTACTGTCTCCCCCTGCAGGCTGTGGACTGAATTACCACAAACGCTGTGCTTTTAGTATTCCCAATAACTGCAGCGGGGCGAGGAAGCGGCGTCTGTCCACCACGTCCCTCACCAGCAGTCAGTCTCTGCGTCTGTCCACTGCAGAGTCCCTCAGTAGTCTCAACAGCAGCGTGACGTCTGAAGAAGCCAGTCTCATCCGATCGCACACCCAGATGGTACAGCACACATTCAATTCCATGTTTTAAACGTTTTCGAATCAAGAAACATACTGTGTTCTTGAGTAAAAACAGCTGTAAAATAAGAAATGTGCTAAATGAATACAAGTAAAATCTCGAATTGTACATATTTTTAGTGCTGTTTTTAGAATTTAAATTTTTATGTATATGTATACTGGCAGTCAAACGTTTGGAATAATTATGGAATAATTTTTTTAATGTTTTTTTTTTTTTTAAAGAAGTGCTAAGAAATGCTTAGCAAAGGCTGAAATTATTTGATCAAAAATACAGTAGAAACAGCAAAATTGTGAAATATTACACGGCAAAGCAAATCAGCATATTAGAATGATTTGTGAATATATATATATGCGTTTATAATTTTGTTCAGTGTATAAAGCATTACCATCAAATTTTAATTAACTACCTTTTGTAATAATATACATAGATTTTTCAATTAACTTTTACATAATGGAATATTAATGTTTAATTCAATAATATCATGCCATGTAAACATCATGTCGGATCTTTCTCCAGCCCCGCACCCCCAGTGAGGCCAGGCGCTTTTACACCGGGCGGCCCGTCCACCTGGACAAGATCCTCATGACTAAAGTGAAGGTCCCGCACACATTCGCCGTTCACTCGTACACGCGTCCCACGGTGTGTCAGTACTGCAAGAGACTGCTGAGAGGACTCTTCCGCCAGGGACTCCAGTGCAAAGGTCGGACAATCCTGCTCAATAATACATCCTGACTTACAAATTGGTACTAAAAACAACTAGGAAAGGGATTTGTTCATGTTGTATTAGTGAATTCCTCATTTACCTGCATAATGACATATATAAGAATGTAATGACGTATATTACTATAATATATGTAATTACATTCTTATATTAATGACACTTTTTAAAACATATAAACAGAAAACAGATATTAAATCATAATAATATTTCACAATATTACTGTTTTTACTCTATTTTGATCAAATAAATGCAGCTTTGATGAGCATAAGAGACTTTTAAGAGCATAAAATACAAAAGAGACTTTCAAAAACATTTAAAAAAATCTTATTGACCATACGATTTTGAACAGTAGTGTAGTTTGTAATACAGAAAATCATTCTAGCAACAGGACAAACATTAATAATGCAATATTAATTTGAAATTATTTTAAATCCACAGCACAAGTAACTTTTTGTATAGACATTAGCTAACTTTTTATAAGTATTCTACATATTAATTTAACGTGTTAGCTTTCCACTGTTACGACCTATGGAATGCCAAAACTGCCATAATTAGAAATAAAGAAAGAAATGTACAAAGAAATGTAAAAATGCAAATATAAATAAATAAATATATAAATAAATATACAAAGAAAAGTAAAAAAGCAAAAATAAACAATTATTTATAATTTTATTTCCTTATTTATGTATTTTTTTATTTTTTTTCCACATTTATTTATTTTTTCTTTGATTTATTTCTACATTTATTTATTTCCACTTTTATTTATTTTCACATTTATGTATTTATTTACGTATTTCTTTCTTTCTTTCTTTCTTTCTTTCTTTCTTTCTTTCCACATTTATTTATTTCTACATTTATTTCTTTTTACATTTATATATTTTCGCATTTATTTATTTCTACATTTCTTTGTCCGTAGGGTAATGAGAAGGGCGTGTTTTACCTCAGGAATAGCAATCGAGCCAGAGTAGGCGAAGGGAAAATCTTATTTCAATTTCAAGTGGGGGGTTGTTTAGGCTGGGAAGCATGCAATCTGTGATTGCGTGAATTTGCTGAAGCTCCCGAAAGCGTGCTTTCTTATGCGTGCTGTTTTTTAGGTTTCACTTTCAAGGCATACAACGCATGTTTCAAAGATTCGGGATAGGAGGCGGCATCAGTTACTGTAGAAGATTTGTCGCCTCGCGCCACTTCCCGTAATGGGTTCTCTTGGTGTAGACACGGCTTTAGATACGGATTAATCGGCTGATTAATCACACGTCTTGGGCTGGAAATATCCAGAATTAGATCAAACAAAAGGTGTCCATGCGAACAGAGCTAGTGAAACACACACATGCATCATAGCCTCCTTCTATCCCGAATCTTTGAAACATGCGTTGCATGCATTGAAAGTGAAACCTAAAAAAACAGCGTGCATAAGAAAGCGATTGCAGGATTTCACGAGCTTCAGCAAATGCACTCGATCACAGATTGTACGCTTTCCAGCCGAAACAAACCCCCACTTGAAATTTAAATAATAACCTGTCCTGTGATATAAGATTTTGGCCATATTGCCCATCTAAATCATTCATCCCCCCAGCGCGCATAAGAAAGCGATTGCACGCTTTCAGGAGCTTCAGCAAATGCACGCGATCACAGATTGCACGCTTCCCAGCCGAAACAACCCCCCACTTGAAATGTGAATACGATTTTGGCCATATTGCCCACCTAAATCATTCATCCCACACTATCAACAGGCGTGTCATGTAGGCTTACACTTCTTGTACTTCGTTTGGGCACCACAAGGTGTCACTGTGGCCTCAAAGCTTACCCCTCGCCTACTCTGGCTCGATTGCTATTCCTGAGGTAAAACACGCCCTTCTAATTACCCTACGGACAAAGAAATGTAGAAATAAATACATGTGAAAATAAACAAATGTAAAAATAAAGAAATGCATAAATAAAGAAATGTGGAAATAAATAAATACGTAAATACATAAATGTGAAAATAAAACAAATAAATAAATAAATAAATAAATGTATAAATAAATAAAATAAAAAAATAAATAAATGTGGAAAAAAATACATAAATAAGGAAATAAAATTATAAATAATTATTTATTTTTGCTTTTTAACTTTTCTTTGTATATTTATTTATATATATATATTTGCTTTTTTACATTTCTTTGTGCATTTATTTATTTATTTATTTCTAATTAAGTCAGCTTTGGCATTCCATAACGACCGTGGTACACTGCATGTTTTTGAGGGTTAACTTTGTGACATACAACAACTCAATAAAAAATAAAAAATAAACATGTCACATACCTTTGGAAAGCAGAGATTTGTTTGATTCGAATGATGCAAACCATTAAGAAACCATTAATTAAGATTCAATCAGCACAACAGGTACAATCAGGCCTCATGCTGTGATCCCATTGTGTTTTCCAGCTAATAGCTCCCAGCTATAGTCATCTGCAGGCATCTGTTAAAAAAAAAAAATGTAGGCGGAATGTTTTTTTTTTGCATTTTTTTCTTTTTCAGTGTGTTCAAATTTCTATCACTCAGTACCAGTAAGACTTACAGTTTCTGTTTAGGAACAAACCTCAGAGTGTCACCTTTCAAAAGAGACCAAAACCATGCATATACTCCAGATGGTTCAAGAACAGCATGCAATTACTTTCGGTATGCCTTTTTAGGCGTTTTAGGCAAATTTTACAGGAATGCTAAGGGGTTAATTTAAAATATGTGTATTGTATATTAATTTAATCAAAACCTATATTGCTAATATTTATATTTGATATAATTATTAATATTTGATTTTATGACTTTTTTTTCTCTCTTCTTTTTAAAGACTGCAAGTTCAACTGCCACAAGCGATGTGCATACAAGGTCCCAAATGACTGCTTAGGGGAGACTCTTGGTAATGAGTGTGAGAGAAACAGTGTTGACATGATGGACATTATTAATTAACGCATTTGAAATATTTGCACTGTTTCTTCTGCTTCTGCAAGCATGTAATTATTGTTTGTCACTTCATGCTGTGTTTGCGTGTTCATTTTTTTTTTACCTCTTTCCCATCTGTCTCTGTCTCAGACATATTAAGTCCAAGCACAGACATGGAGGTGCCGATGGACTTTAGTAATGAGTATTCTGACACTGATAAGTCATCTCTGATGGACGACTCAGACGAGGCCTGCAGTATCCCTGGGTCTTTCTCCCCAGACAACAACCAGGATGGAGCCAGTGGAGACCAGAGGTAGTTAGACAGGTTTTAGACATACAGACAAATTTAAGGCCTAGTCACAGTAAACACAAAATTGGAAAGAAAAATAATATAGTTTTATGCAACTCAGGCCCATTGGAAATACGAGACTGCATACATTTATACAAAAATGTACCTATATACGTATACATTTCACTAGAGTTTTCAGCTGAAATGAACACTAGCGACAATAAAACAACAACAACTTTTGTTCCTTTTTGCACAAATTATGATTACGGGGCAGATTGAATAAAGGCTTATTTTTACATGGTTCCTTGAACATCACTGTTATGACCTCAAAACACGTTTACCATAGTTTGTCACTTATAATATAATACATTGTATTGTTTGCATTACATAACCAGCTCCATATGTATGGCTTTTCTGACATAGTAAACTTGCTCGATAGCTCACCCGGTAGAGCGTTGCATTTGCGATACAGAGCGCTCTGGTACGAGTCCGTGAAACACGAGTCATGACACTCCATAAAAGAGCTCAAAGCCTTGCATAAGGAAGCTAAAATGGCACGGTTGCTTCAGCAAATGTGTTTTTATTTCACATTTTCTCATGTTTTGTTTTGTTTAGTGTAGGTGGTATGCTATTTCTGAAATGCCGTGATATGTACAATAAACATCTAATAACTGAGAAAAGAGAAAACTGAGAAAATTACACACCATATATGCTTTGAAACTACCATGAAACGCTACAAGAAGCGCAATATCATTTTGCAACTATATTGTACCCACAAACATGTTATTTTTATGACACTGTGCTGCTTATAAACCCGCATCTGCAGTGGAGAAAAAGTGATATCACTGATAAACGGCTCTTGTGGATGTGTCATCTGAAAAGTGTAGTGAAATATGTATACCTGGACTAATGTATTTCAGGTTTTGCAGAAATGTAGGTAGAGTTATGCATTTCCAATGAGCATGGGATGGTTTTATGGCTTATACAAATCGTATACACCAACATTAGAAGGTGTACAAGCCCTTCACATCAAGTGTGAAAATTCGATTTGCAACTATGCATTCTCATAGTGTAGCTCAGTTTCCCTCAGTGAAAAAACTAAACGACCAATAAGATATTAGCTTTTCGCAAACGATTCACTTGCAATTCATGTTGTATTGGTGTGTCTCTCTTTGTATGAATAGCTTTTATTCAGCACGCAGTTGCCTGCGTACCTCTATGTCTGCTCACACCTGGGTTGTCTTATATGATCTCATGATTTATGACTTGTGTGCTGTGATGTTTCCGCAGTGCTAATATTCCTCTGATGAGAGTAGTGCAGTCGATCAGGCAGACCACACGTCGCTCTAGCACAGCCATCAAGGAAGGCTGGATGGTTCACTACAGCAACAAGGACACACTGGTACTTCCTCTGACTGCTGGCTGACCTGAAAGGGATAATTCACCCAAAAATGAATATTCTAACCTCATTTGCTCACTCTTTTTGCCAGTGTGATAAGTCATTTATCTATTTACATTTTTTACGTTATAAATTGCTAATTTATTACCTAATTACTTCAAATGACACTCATAGTCTATGCATATCTATTATTGACTCTTGCAACCAACACGTTGACAATGATCTAATTTTAATACGTTTAAAGGTGGGGTAAGTGATTTCTGGTAGCCAATGTTGACATTTCAAATCACCAAAACAAACACGCCCCTACCCCAAAAGGGTCTCGCCCCTATTTTGATAGCTCCGCCCCACACATACGTACGCAACCCAGGCAATGATTAATTCTGTGAAACAAAGCAAAACCAAAGTTACACCGTGTCTACACCGTACGCGAGAGGCGCGACAAAATACTATAGAACTCATTATAATCAGTGATGCTGTCTACAATGGATGTGGCGCGGCACGACAAATCCCGACAGAAAACTGCTGCTGATCCGATATTTACACGGGTCCTACTTCTTGCCTTATTGTAAGCCTTATTTTGTCCCGCAGTCGTTTTCCTCTTTTGTTTTTTATCCGCCATCTCTATCTTTCTGTCGCTCGGCTCGGCTAATGTCCATCCTGTGCACTGAGCGCTCTCTCCTCCACATCATGAGTAGACACGCCCCTTACTGCTGATTGGCTACAAGTTTGTTTTGGTACTCGGCCCGACTCAGTTTTCTAAAGCGTTTTTGAAAAAATGCATACCCCACCTTTAATTATGCATTTATTGATTTATTTAAATATTTATATATTTATTTAATGGTTTAATTTTCAGTACTTTGGCCCTCCATAATAGTCCTGCATAGTAATATAGTGCGCTAGTCGTATGAACCATTCATTCATTCATTCATTAAAAAAACAAAAAACAAATCATTAATTTAGTTGAGTCTTCTACAGGTTTTGAACTATAGAAAGATGAGTAAATGAAGAAATTTTTGCATGAACTATTCCTTTAACAAAGCCAGAGTATTCGGTCTAGTCTATATACTATCCTTACCTCACTTCTAAACACCCTATTGCTATTTCTGTATGTGTTCTGAATCAATCTGCACACTTGCACAATAATATTAGCAAATCTTCAGCTTTTAAATCACAGGCTATTCTGAGCGTCCCCTGCAGGAGTGGATATTGATTTGTAGGAATGAATAGCAGTAAATGTCACTCAAATTGCTTCTAGACAATTATTTTCACAAAGAATCGGGAAAATTTGGTTGAGGCTTTTTCTCAACATAGATATATTGACCTGTTCTCGGCCTCCTGTAAAACGTCTGCATTTCTGTGTAGCATTTTACTCCTCTTTAGCCTTTTCTTTCTAACTTTCCTCCTGGTTTTTCTCTTGCGTCCTCCTCTTCTCTTCAGCTCTGTTTACCTTTCGCTTTCTTCCTCCTGTCTGCTGGGGTGAAGCTGACCCCAGCACCAACTCCTTGTTGACTTATGACCTCTGACCTGTCACCCCACCCTCCAACAGAGGAAGAAACACTACTGGCGCCTGGACTGCAAATGCATCATCCTGTTTCAAAACGACACCACCAACAAATACTACAAGGTAGAATCTCCCTTTCTTTTATTGTTTAATGACTGTTTATTATGGAAGCCCATTTCCGCCATGGGATGAAAAAAATAGTAATTGCGACTTTTTATCTCACAATTCTTACTGTTATTCTGACAATTCTGAGTTTATATCTCACAATTCCTACTTTTTCTTGCAATCCTGAGAAGAATAAATAAATCAGAATTGAGAGATATAAACAGAAACAAAAACAGAATTGCGAGGATGTGAACTCACTGTAAAAATAATGTAAATTCTCAAGTTTATATCTTGCAATTCAGAGAAAAAGTCATAATTGTAAGATATACAAGTAAATTCAGAATTGTTACATATAAACTCAGAATTGTGAGATATAAAAAAAGTCACAATTACTTTTTACATTTTTTATTACATGGCGGGAAAAAAAGAATTGTGAGATGTAAACTTGGAATTTAAAGAACAAAAAATAAAAAATGTTATATCCCACGGTTCTAAGCTTATATCTTGCAATTGTCTCTTTTTTCATAATTGCAAGAAAAAAAAAATCAGAATTGTGAGATAAAAAGTCACACTTTTTTATTTAATTTAAGTATTATTTGTATTATTTTTCATTTAACTAATATTCAGTTATTATTATTATTATTATTTTATTTTTTTAATCCCATGGTGGAAAAAAGCTTCCATAGTTTATAGACATTGTTAGATAAATTGCACATGAAAAAGGAGTTAATGTGTGTGTGGAAATGCCACATTATATTATGCATTATGCGTTCACAGTGACAGATGAAGCATGAATATTCTGGATTCATGAAATAATGCATTATGAATGGTTTACACAAGCTATTTGGCCATTAGGGTGACTTCACATGTATAATTACCTGGTTTGATGTGTCATTTCAGTTAATTATCTCTACTCACATTGGCGTTAACCCCCATCCTGCTTTGAAATTAACCTCTGCGCATATTGTCGGCATGATTGAGGGTCTAATGTGCCCCTTGTCTCCCTCCGCAGGAGATCCCGCTCTCAGAAATCCTGCAGGTCCGTCCGGCGGGTGATTTCTCTCTCGTCCCTCCTGGCACAAGCCCCCATTGCTTTGAGATCATGACGGGTACCATGATCTACTTTGTTGGTGAGGACCCCAACACCACCCCGTCCCCATCATCCAGTGTGTCTGGTCTGCCCATCTCAGCCAGCCCCAGTAGTGTTGCACCAAACAGCGGGGTGGGGCGAGAGTTCGCCAAAGGATGGGAGACTGTTATACGTCAAGCACTCATGCCAGTCATCTTCCAAGACAACCCTCCAGCAGAAGGTCACACTCCTCACCGTAAGTGAGCTTAAGTCTGGAAGGAAGGTGTGATGCTGCATACATAATCAGTATAGGGATAATGTCACTGTTAAGAAACCTAAACAAATCACTTGATTATGTGGATAATTTATAGTGTATAGTTAATTTAGAGACTTGATAAAAATGTATTACACCTTTTCAAAAAGTCATTAAAAAAAGAGTTTCATATCAACATGAAGACAAAAGTTACAATTTTTAAGAACTTTGCAGTTTTACCTTTTTTTTTGCATTGAAACTTTGATTTTTTTAATTTAATATTATCATCCTTATTTGTCATTGACCCTCATACAGTACAAGTATAACACTGATATTATAAAGTGAAGCTAATGTGGCTATTAATCTCATTGATTTTCAGGGCAGGCATCAGTCAGCATCTCAGTGTCTAACAGTCAGATTCAGGAGAATGTGGTGAGTAAACTTGACCTTTAAAGGTGCAATATATCACATAGTGTGATGATGATGACAAATATGATCATGATAACGATTAAGATAAAAATAAATGATGATGATGATGTACCCAACAGGACATTGGAATGGTGTACCAGATCTTTGCTGATGAGGTTCTGGGCTCTGGACAATTTGGTGTGGTATATGGAGGTATGTCTGTGACTGAAAACTAGATTTTTACCATTTCTAAACATAGGGTGTTGCTATGTGGTTGCAAAAGAGCAGATGCACCCTTTAGACCTTATTATATTCTAGACTGAAGTCCAATTCAGGACAAGTTACACTCTTAAAAATAAAAATTCCTATTGGCATTGATGGTTCCATGAAGGTTCTTTATAGTGGAAAATGTTTTTTTTTATTAGATTATTAAAATGTTCTTCACACTAAGAAAAGTAATGCTTCTTTCAAAAAATGAACCAAAAACGGCATCGACCTTTATTTTTAAGAGTGAACACACCAAAGATGGATTTCTTATTCATATCCCTTGTCCTAAATATATGCAATAGCAAGCACCACTAATGATATGCAAGAATGGATATTTACAAAAGATCACACATTATCATTTCCTCAACCTGCACAGGAAAACACAGGAAAACTGGCCGGGATGTAGCCGTGAAGGTGATCGACAAGCTTCGGTTCCCCACCAAGCAGGAGAGCCAGCTGAGGAATGAAGTAGCCATATTGCAGGTGACCAGCAGGGGGCGATAGAGAAGCAATTATTCAGCACACGTAGAACTGTGTGGCTAATGAGTGCCTTTGTATTGACTGAATGATAATGATCACATATAACACAATTAAACCTGCTGTGTGCCTCCTGATTGTGAGAACACCTGACCTAACATAAGTTCATGCATGCAAATAAACAACAACGTGACTCACTCAACCTCATCTCTTTACCTTGTCCTTTCAACCTCTCCCAGAGCCTGCGACATTTGGGTATAGTGAATCTTGAGTGCATGTTTGAGACGCCTGAGAAGGTGTTTGTGGTGATGGAGAAACTTCATGGTGACATGCTCGAAATGATACTGTCAAGTGAGAAAGGACGACTTCCTGAGAGACTCACCAAGTTCCTCATCACGCAGGTCAGCGCTACATTTAGAGCTTAAAACATGCTTCTTAGAGGTTAAGGGCCGTTCATACCAAGGACATAGAGTTTTCATAATCATTCTAAAGGCCTGCTCACACCAATAAAGATAACTATAACGGGAACAGTTTTCTCATCTGCTGCTTTAAATGCTCTTTCAAGTCTGTTGGATTCTGATTGGCTGTTGAAGTTTTTATCATTTACCATCTGGAAAAAAAACAATCACTCTGAAAGTGATTCTCAGAATATTGTTACTCTGTGGACTTCACTGTTTTCATAGAATTCAAACCTGTTCAAACCTGTTAATATGTGCTAATAATGAAAAGAACAGCATGAGTCAGTACATGCCTGTTAGCAAATATGTTAATTAACACTTTGTGGTAATTATTGTTCTTGATTAGTGCATGCCTTAACTCATTATTAGTTCACATTAAAGTAATATTTAATTCAGGTATTAGTACATGATTATTCATATACTCTCATTTATCATTTTATGTTGCAGATAACTATAACGATAACTATACTAGTGTCATGTTTATTATTAGCACATAAATGCACAAGCTCTTTATTAAAATCAGGTGGGTACTGATTGGCTGTCAATGTTTTTATCGTTCACTCGCTGGAAAACGTTATGTAAGCGATTCCAACAATATCGTTATTGTTCCTTTGTGTCATTATCATTATAGCTGTGGTGTTCATTATTTTCATAAAATTAATGCCTGTTCATACTATAGTAGATACGATCACTACGAAGTTAACTATAGCTATACATTTTCATAATCATTCTAAAGGCCTGTTTGCACCCAGAATAACTATTATGATAACTATATTAGCACCCTGTTTTTTTTTTTTTTAAAGCGTGCACTGCAGTTTTGTCTTTTACCGCTTTAAATGCTCAAGCTCTTTAATGCTAGGTAGATTCTGATTGGCTGTCAAAGTTTTTATAATATAGTTATCGTGCTTGGTGTAAACGGGCCTTTAAATGTGCAGTAAGTGATTTCTGAGAAACGCTTGATAGCTCCACCCTCAAATTGCTATGCAAAACATGCTATGCAACACAGTCACCTCTACCATCATGGGTGGACACGCACCTTACTGGTGATTGGCTGCAAGTGTGTTTTGGTGCTCGGTCTGGTCCACTTCAAACAGCGTTTGTCAGAAATCCCTTGCTACACCTTTAAAGGCATTATGTTGAACCAATATCTTCTCTTTCACTCCCTTTCTAGATTTTGGCTGCTCTGAGGCACCTTCACTTCAAAAACATAGTGCACTGTGACCTCAAGCCTGAGAACGTGCTATTAGCATCAGCGGATCCTTTCCCACAGGTCAGAGAATTCAATGCAATGCAATTTTAATACGTCCTAGAGGCATGTGAAACAAACTAGCACTTTTTTTTTTGTTATTAGCACTTTTTTTTACTGTTTTTTTTCTTTTTTTTCATAATGCAAGGTTGTACTTCTCCTTTTTACGTTTTGTTGACTCTTAACACTTCTTCCCACCCACACGGCATATTCATAGGTGAAACTTTGTGACTTTGGTTTTGCTCGCATCATCGGAGAGAAGTCTTTCCGCCGTTCGGTTGTTGGCACGCCAGCTTATTTGGCCCCCGAGGTCCTGCTGAACCAGGGTTACAATCGCTCTCTGGACATGTGGTCTGTAGGTGTGATCATGTATGTCAGTCTGAGTGGAACTTTCCCCTTCAACGAGGATGAAGATATCAATGATCAGATCCACAATGCCGCCTTCATGTACCCACCCAACCCATGGAAACAGATCTCTCCTGAAGGTACAAACACAGTAAAATTACACCGAATTAAATACAAGTTCATAATGTACAATAACATGTCAGATCAAATTGAGAATAGAAGTATATGAAAAGTTAAAAGAGCTGAATAGAGAACACTTTGCGTGGCTCTTCCTGGAAATTTACTTCATATTAACAAAAAGAAATTCGATGCATTAAAAGCAGGCTGATCGTTGAGTAGCTCCATCCGCCTTTGATTTTCTGTCTGCTGCTGTAAATCATTTAGCTTCAATCAATGCAGATTTTGTTTGTGTGATCTCTCCATTTCTCCATAGCTATCGATCTCATCAATAACCTGCTCCAAGTGAAGATGAGAAAACGCTACAGTGTGGACAAGAGTCTCAGCCATACCTATCTACAGGTAATGCTTCTTTCAATTAATAGGATGCCACATATGGCTTTCTAAGAACACACACACACACACACACACACACATATATATATATAAAACATATATATATATATATATTTTTTTTTAATTGTCCAAAAAAAAAATCCATCAGTGAAAATAAATAAATAAATAAATAATAAAAAAGAGAAAATGTTGTTTTAGGAGATCACATTAAAATAAGTCATTTTACTATGCATCATTGTATCTTGAAAACTGTATCATGGTTTCCACAAAATATATTAAGTAGCACAACTGTTTTCAACATTAATAATGCTAATAATACTAATAATAAATGTTTCTGGAGCACCAAATAAACTGAAGACTGAACACGTTGCATCACATGAATAACTTGCATTTGAAAATATATATCACAATAGAAAACAGTTATTTTAGATTGTAACAATATTTTACAAAATTGCTGTTTTTACTGCATCAAATAAATGCAGCCTTGGTGAGCATAAGAGTTTTCTTTAAAATTTTATATGTATTTTATATGAGGTTTGCATCTGTAAATAAAAAAATAAATAAATATAAATAATAATTTTATATTTAATTATATGGAAATAAATAAAGAAAAACATGAACATTAATCAAATATCGTAGTTTAAAGCTACTGATAAAATAAAAGATTGAGTAATAGGGTTGAAATTAGCAGATTACAGATTTGGCTTAATTTAAGCCATCAGGCCGTAGAGGTTAGTTAATAATGTAATATGTAATATTACATACATTATATTATTTATTAAAATACTGTTAAAAAGATAATTTCTGAATTAAATTAGAGACAGAAGTAAGACGGATAATCTAGACAAGGATAAGGCTGTTTTATTCACATGAAAAAAATTGGAAATAGGTCTGCAATTACATTAAAAGCTCCACCTGAAAGATGGAAAAATGACAAATTTGTTAAACAACCCGAGATGACAAAATCTAAGTATGGATTTGCAGTAAAAGAGAGTTTTATGTATGAGAAGCAAATTACATTAAGGACAAATAAGCTTCTTAAGTAAAGTGCTTTTAGACACCGCAAACAAAATGAATCATCATTAGCTGTGGCGTCCTTCTGTCTTTATCATCTACTTATTGCTCTCTCTCTCTCTCTCTCCCTACAACACTCCCGTCTGCTCTTTCAGGACTACCAGGCTTGGTTGGACCTCCGAGAGCTGGAGTCAAAGCTTGGGGAGCGTTACATAACCCACGAGAGCGATGACAGCCGCTGGCAGCAGTACGCCCGTGACCACACGCTGCCCTACCCTCCTCACCTGGTGCCCCCGCCACCTGCGTCCGACGACGACGAGCAGGAGGGTGCGGAGGACGCCGACATGCAGGGGCTGACAGAGCGTGTTAGCATCCTTTGAAGAAGAAACCGAGGAGGAGGGTGAGAGGAATGAAGAGTACCTGCCCGAACTATAGCAATTTTCAGTGCACCACAAGCGTAGGATGGAGGTAGTCACCTTTCGGGTGTCTTTGGCAGGCCATCTGAACTCTGGAATGCAGATATTAAGGCTGAGAAAGAGCTGTTTTGGATCCCATCCGAGATCTTTACAGAGACACAAAGTCAGACTGTTCATCATAGGCATGTGCAAAACAATTTTTTTTTCGAAATTGACAAGTCTGTTTTAACTAAGCGCTAATTTAATTTGGCTGGTTTTGGGTTCGCCTCACCTAACTAGATGACTTTTTGAAGATGCGGTCACATTTAGCCATATTCTGCGTATTTTCGCAGGCAAAATCCAGTCTGTTCAATGGAAATCCACACAATCATGAATTTTATGTGAGGACAAAAGATTTCCCAATGCAGATTTCGCAACTGGTTGAAATTGGTCACACGCACATTTGCCGCATTTACCAACAGAAAGCTGAAAGTGACTTTTGTGTGAACAGTGCTTCTTGCATGAACAATATACCTTTTTTGCCCACAAAATTTCACCCAAATTTTGCCATTGTGATCTATACTGCTAAAGCGCAGCATGCGTTTCATATGCAAATCAAAGTACTGAACTAATCGTTAATCGAAAAAAGTTAGTCAATCCCAGTAACTGACTAATTGACCATCATGACCCGGGATGGGTTTCGTTGATCACAACAGATTGACGTCAAGATGATAATCCCCAGGTCTCAAGAAATGTATCAGTCATTATACAATATGCAGAGGAAAAGACATATCTATTACGCTGGATTATTTTCTTTGTTGTGGTCTGTGGTGATGTCACCTTTAGTTTCATATCCACTTTTTCATATTACTGAGAATCTTTTTGAAAAATAACCTGGAAGAAGTCCCACATTCTGGTGTTTTCCAGTATCGTCATCGGTTTGCCCTGCAGGTGCAGGTGACTTAACCTCTGAGAATGGAGCTTATCTTATGAGGACTGATAAGCGGACTGCCCTTTCGGCCTTATCACCTTGTGCACAAAGACTACCTAGACTGTTCTCAGATCAGCTGCTGTTAGCACCCGCTAGTTCAGCTGATCTTTGTACTAGCTGTACTGGATGTGTATTACTCCTAACTGACCCTAGACCTGAGCATTAGGCTGCATGTCACTGAGAATTAGGTTTGCTTGAAACTTATTGCTATGAAGGACTATTTTTTACACATGTAACCTTAGATATTATGATGTAGTTTGTGGAAGTTAATGTCGGAGCATTTCCAGCAGGTATAATAAACATGGTGATGCATAAATCTGTTGAAATGAATCTTATTGAGTCATGAGGTTTGAGTTAAGTTGATTTCCTTTTTTTTTTATCCAGAGAGAATGACAGAATGAAAAACATAAAAAATACATGGAGAACTTGTTCCAGGTGCAGTAAGGCTTAAGCTTTACTGACAGCATCTGTGGGCACAGAAAATCATTTCAGCTTAAAAATAAGCAAAAATTTTGAGTTCGAGTCGAACCCTGAAAAAAAAAAAAGGATCACTGTTTCCATAAAAATATTAAATCAGCATATTAGACTGATTTCTGAAGGATCGTGTGACACTGAAGACTGGAGTCATCAAAGCCATCAAAGGAATGAAATACATTTTAAACTGAATATAATAGAAAACAAATGACAATAATACTCCAAGATAATATTCTTACTGTTTTTTTTTTTTCCTTTTCTAATCAAATAAAGCCTTACCGATCACAAACTTTGGTTTAGGGACCAATTCTCACTATTAACTAGTTGATTATTAGCATGGCTGTTTATTAGTACTTATAAAGCACATATTAGTGTCTTATTCTGCATGACCATATTCTAGATCCCAACTACCTTACTAACTATTAATATGCAGCAAATTAGTAGTTTTGAGGCAACATTTTAGTCAATAGTTAATTGATAGTGAGAATTGGTCCCCAAACTAAAGTTTTAACCTATGTTTCTAATCACTCTTTGATGTGCTGAATGAAACTTTACAGGACTGTAATCTGGACACATTTGCAAATACACTTACCAAATTAACATATATGATTTAATTGAGCAATTACCTTTTTGCTGGTCCAGTGCCTTGCTCTATAGAGATGAAGTGAATTATTGTAAACATTTTTTTTTTGGTTTGTTTTTATAAACTGAGGGACCAATCACAACTATTTCATGTGATAATCGACAATATGCCATAGATACTGCTGATAGAGTTTCACATTAATTGAACTCATAACTGCTTTAAGTTTAAACTCAAACAAATATTTCCTGATTTAAACTGTGAATGGAACATTATATTGTTTCAGATCTGCAAAAAAAATCTTTGTTACTGCTAAGTTAAAAATTAAAGTATCATATTTGCCCTGACAGTTTTAGGGGAAGGCCACATGTATAAACCAAGAAACTGCTGTGTAGTTCAGAAATCAGTCAGTTAGTAATATAAATGAAAATGCAAACCAGCAGAAACAAGAAATAAAACTAATGAAGCCCAAGAACAGCAACAGACAACCACGAAACAGTGTTTACAGCATTGAATTATTTAACAATATGTTGTAGATATGAGTCTCATTCCTTCGCTTTATAGACTCCATCATAGTCAATAATGTATGAAATTCATTGAAAGGTCAAAACACCTTTTTATCAAATATAGGTGAACTGCTTTACATTTCCTCGGAATGTACTTTTAAATAATCAGTAAAGAGAATATTAGGTTTATATAGGTTTAACCGAATTTCCCAGAAGTCTCAGACTTTAAAGGGGTCATATGATGTTGCTAAAAAGAACATTATTTTGTGTATTTGGTGTAATGAAATGTGTTTATGCGGTTTAAGGTAAAAATCATTATTGTTTCTCCTCTATGCCCCACCTTTCTGAAACGCGTC